CATTTCTTTTTGCCAGCGCACATGTCGATCTGGAGTGGATGACAATACACGTTCTTTTGCTGTAGCCAAAATAATGTCAGCTTCAGGCATCGTCATCCAGCTCAGTGGATTGGCATTTGGGCTGGAAGATGTATAGGTCATCCATAAAAGCTCGACATGCTTGCAAAAAGAAATGGGGTCTAATAAGGAAAGTGCACTACGAAAACTTATACTCAAAGCTTACAATAAAAGGGACCGTAAAACTTTCATTTCAGAAAGCAATTGTTGCGTTCGTGCAGTAGACAGAAAAGTGGACGAGAAGACATGAAATTTGGACATATTTAGGTTGAGGTAGAATTCGATTGCATCGACCGCATTGATGGCTGGCTCACTCCCAACAGGAACCACATTGGGGTCTGGAAAGAATTCTTCCGCCAAATCAGGCACAATCCTCTTCAGCTCCATAAAGCAACCATCAAGACAAGCAAGGATACAAATTTGGATTCGTTTGGCCTTTGGTGTCATTGGATACGAGTGATCAGACATATACAGCCCCGGCAAAACATCCAGCTCGTTTTTAACTAGCTCATGGAATCTTGGTAGCAAAAAAACGTCATCAAGGCAGAATATTTCCTTTAAAAGAGATATGCCTCTCAACACCATGGATGAATCATCCGAAAAGCATTTCAAGAACGGAGAGTCCTAGTGGTGATAAATAAAAGATTTTCAACTTTACCTTGCCTTTTTCCAGGACCAGCTTGATGGCAAAATGTTCTGGAGAATGTCGAAGTATAGCAGTGGCATCTGGAATAATTAGACCGGTCACCAGTGAAAACGGAAAGTTGTCTTTTAGCAAATCAGTGACTAGACGCTGTGCCGAAATGTGGATAACACCACCATGTCTGTATATTTGGGACCTAAATTTTCAGAGGTCAATTTATACCGTTGCGAGGAACTCATCGAAGATGGCACCTTTTTTAGAGTGCCCGTTGGAAGTAGGCCCTCAATTGCCTCAATGATCGGGTTAGAGGGGCTAATAAGAAATACCAATGATGAGCTATGGGAGAGACCGACAACGAAGCACGAGATGATTCTTTCCAAGGCCTGTCCTCTTCCGCAAACGTACAAATATCTGCCGGTGTATAGATTCTGATCCAAAGAACCCGGCACCGAAGCCGATTCAATGAAATCCTTCATTGATGGCGGAATAGCCCAATTTACATTAAATGACATGAAAAATTTCGCCAAACAAAAGCGTAGAAGGCATTTAATCCATCGAGTGGAGTATCATGGCAAGTAGTGGTTTGGTGTATCAAAAGCGCCGGTTTATTATGGTAGATGGCTTATATCAGGCCTATGAAGAGGCCTTCATAAAGAAAGAAATGCTAGCAAGGATTGAAATAACCACCAAAAGTGACATAAAATGCTCCTTACACGTGAAGACCTTTTTTCGACTGCCTTCGTATATTTCAAGCAATCTGGAAATGCTGGCCTCAATCTTGAAGTTTGATTTAGCAAACTGGCACGCAGTTTCTTTTACATTTTTAGCCGCTGCACTATCTGCGCGTGTGATAGCCATTTCGAGTCCTAATTTAAAGTCAGCGAGCTCTTCGGTGGAAAGCGTATTGAGAAACGAGTCCTGAGTATTCTTTTGGTGATCTGGGATCAAATATCCGGTTTTTTTGTGCTGAATATATTCTGCTGGGCCGCCAGAAGCCATTGCAAAGACAAAAGCCCCTCCAAGCGACATTGCCTCTAATGGAATGATTCCAAAGTGTTCATTTGATGGCGTATAAAAAAGAAGCTTGGCAGAGTCTAAAAGCTCAAACTTAAGAGACGCCGATACTCCCTTAAGGAAAACAATGTCTATAGCTGGGCTCAGACGTGAATCTTCCAAGCCCTCCGCCCAAGATAGGTCTAGCTGTCTTGCTAGCGCTTGTAGTTGCGCCAACACGAGACAATTTTCCGAATTTTTGGGATCAAACCCCCCAGCAATGATAAAATACGGCTTATTGGCAAAGTTGAGTGTCTTCATAAACTGGCATAAATATATAGCGCGTTCAAGATTTTTTTTGGCATCAAACCTATTGAGAGAAAGTATGTAGTTCGTTTTAATGAAGCCTGGAATGGAGGATGAAACCTGCTTTTCTATCTCAACAATGCTAGGATAAATAACATGCAGATTGTCCTGGGGATATGCTTTCGATAGGACCGGAAATGCCCTCGAATATTGCGAACGGGTAAACTTGGAATTAAAAATAACTTGATCGGGAAACCACATGTAAAACTGCTCCAAAAGATCAAAAGGAATTCTAAACATCGCATGCAAAACCGACTTTGGCTTGGCCAGAAACTTGTCTGGAAAATGGCAATAAAAAATGATGAGCGGATATTTTCTTTCAGAGCCCTTAAAGCTGAACAAAAAGTCGTAAATTTTCAAGAGCGTAAAATATGCCTTGAGAAGCACAGCAGAAATTGCGATGATATCGATGAATATTACATCGTATGATAAGATGGAAGATTGCGAACCAAACCCTGAAAAAATCAAATAAACAGCCAAAAGAAGGTTATTGAGCGAGGCAGAGACAATTTGGCTCAGTCGATCAAAAAGCCTGACCCAGCCGTAGGATCGGATATTTAGATTTTTGCACTCATCAAAACAGTACTTTGGGTCAAATTCGTTCGTCGCTACATGTACCGTATGCTCTTTGCACGAATTCAATCCAGAGGCAAAATTTACAACCAAGCGCTCAGCGCCCCCTAAAATTCAACACCCAACAAGCCATACCAACGCCTAGAATAGGATGGATAAAAAGAAACTTCATCCAATGAGAAGCTACAAATAATGAGATTGGCAATCGATTGATTTTAAACTCGTCAACTACAATTGCAGTCCCGTTTGCACTTGGTAAATTCTTTATGACAACACGCTTTAACGCGATTATTTTGCAAAATTTACGGCTAACAGACATCCATAACATGCTGGACGTCTTGATGTGTTTGCGATCCGTCGTTTATGCAATTAGGGAGTCATAAAGGTTGATTTAAAATCAATCATTTGTCCCGTCAAAGTTTCTCCCTTGTGGTTACTGGGGTCCACAAATCTCTTACCAATCAAATCGAATCAAAAAACTAGGCGGTTTCCCAAAGCTATAAGGTGCCAGTGCTCCTATTTGTTTCAACTGACCATGTGAACATAATTTAAACGTACAAATAGATTTAGTCTTAAAAATACGATACTTTTGTTCTATGATGGCGTTAATCATTGATTCTTGGAATCCTTTCAACATTTGCTCTAATGGATGGTAGCAACTGTAATGAAAGTACCTAAGATGAAATGCAAATTCTTTGTCGACACATTCTTGGGAGGACCATTTATCCCAGACCTTCATGTCAACAGCAGGCCTTTCGATACCTTACTTTTAAACATGATATCCTCTTTACCATCGTCACTTTCTTCATCATAACTGTCATCATTTCCAAACAATTCTATCAACTTTTCATATCTCTCCTCCATTGGCTAGCCGTGATATGTTTAAATAAATTAATTTTCTGGCTGCTTGCCAATTAAAATCTCGAATTTCGGAAAATTAATTCCCATTCGTCCATATGTTGCTTTTGGTAGCGCATAGGCCATGCAAAATTATCTCTGCATTCATTGAACCATGGATTTGCGTCTCTTGGTGCTGCTTACGTGTGTAGTGCTTATATTTGTTAGTATGTGCTCATCCATCGATTTAAAACCGGATATTTTATCGTCTCTCGAATCATCTTCATGTATGCTGACTGAGGAGGAGCTTTTGCTGTTCTTCACTGGATTTTCTCCAGAAAAAGAAATGGATGATTATTATCTCAAAGTTTGCTATCTATTGGATTTGAGGATTTCTGCTAAAAAAGAGTATCAAAGCAAAGTTTTTAACATAAAGAAAGAAAAGACCCACCTACTTGGTCATTTTTTAAACATGGCCCAGCCTAAAAGTATTTTTGATGATGAAGGTGCGTCTATGATTCTAAAAGAAGCCATTCCATCATTTGTAATTGATTCGATACCCGGCAGTTATCTGAAAGATATCTCATTGTCTCATCAAATTTCTTTGGCATTTATTGCGAAGACGCTACCAACTTTTGTTCGCTCTCCCACTGCGGAAAAGGCGTACTTTTCGCTCAAGGATCTTTTTTTTCTGGAAAGAGATCCTTATATCCCCGCGACAACAAAAGAATTTCTAAAGGACGAGGGACTCGCCGCCCTCCTGGCCGGATTGGCTCATCCTGCTGCTTACCATTCGATCAAGTTGGAGCATTTCGATCTTCTTTTTCCTGCCATGGCCAATTATACTGAAGCGCTTATTTTTGATACACTGTTTATTTTCTTTCGGCATCACATTTCGCTTGGCAAAAACAATGCAAATGACATGATTTCAAATCTAGTGCTGGAAAAATCGCTTGCATACGAATCGACGATAATCCCGGATTTTTCAATTTCCTTCAAAAAAGGAGACTCCGATGCTGTTATGTCATTTCTAATCTACCTCATACATGAGGCGAGAAGAGAGGAGGGACAACCTTCGGAAGATTATATCGATATTGCGTATCCTGGAAACAAAGTTCTCTTCAAGCGCTTGCAATATCTGCGTAGATGTTCCAAAGCTGCGTTTATAGGGCCGCTTATTGTTCTGGTGCTGAAAAAACTTTCTCGGTTTGATATCGTCGAAAATGAGAATACTATAGGAACGTTAACCGAAAATAAAGACTCCATTCTCAACCTCACTGCTTTTGAGACGCTATTTTCGGAGCAAATTCCTCCAGCTGATCCTTATTTATCAGCGCTATCCAAAAGAGAGGCTTTGGTTGAGTTTCTCTGTCTAAACTTGGCCTCGTTTATCCCATTTTCAGAAAAATCTGCCTCCTTCGCTTTGCTCGAATATATGGTCCATTTTGAGACACCGGAGGAGATATCTAGAATTTTGTCGACCTATTTTCTAGTTCAGCAGTCCGATTCGGAAGTGATGGAGTCAATGGTGAAAGAAATTTCTCGGCTCTTTATCTTCATCATTTATAAGTATGAGCGTAACTTGCGATCCGAAGTGTCTCTAGTAATTGAAAATTGGCTATCAAAATTTGCGCCTACTTTTCTTCCTTCATGTGCTCCCGTTTTCTTGAAGAGCACAAATACCACATCTGCAAGCGTTTCTCAGTACTCTGCGTTTGCCATTACCGCATCTACATTGATTGGTATTCTTTTTTGCATTTATTGATTGACCCTTCCCCCTCCATCCCCTATTAACGATAAAAGATTCAGATTTCTAAGGAGGTTTCTATCAATCCACCTTTCTTTTCGCTCATGTACATAGAGTGGGACCAATTATATCAGTGCGATTATCCATGGCCACTCTCGACTATCATGGCGGCAATTTGACAGTCCATCTTTTCGGAGTAAACTTTATGTTTTCCAAGGCTCATTAGTCACCAATACCTACCCCTAGCACCAATAAAGCAAGTAATTTACGAAGGACCATGTACAGATATCACATAGGTATGCTCACAACTAGGCTTTGGCTAATTTAAACTTTCTTTATTGCATTTAGATATTATTTACTACTCAAAAGAGTTAGGGAGACAGGATTCCGATTTTTCTGGCAAAGACAAAGGTATGCAAAAGGGCGGCAAATGATCCGCCAAGCAAGTCTCCGACCCAGTAGACCCAGTGTGACGAAAAGTTGCCAGAAATTACAGAAGCGCCAAACACACGGGCAGGATTAAAAGCACCCCCAGAAGAGGAGCCTCCAAGGTAGCACAGGAAGCCAAGAGTGAGACCAATAGCAATTGGAGCAAAATGGTTCTTCGATGGTGATGGAGTGGCGTAAACACGAGCGGTTAAAGCTCCGCCTATAACGGATTTAGACACAGAATAAGGCCGTCTACTGGTAGAGCCTGATTCCATCATGTCAGCGGTAGAAGAGGCTACTGAATTTGAAGATTGTATCGTCACTTCATGCTCATTTACAGCATTGGTGCTTTCTTCCTCTTCAAGAGTGATGACATTTTTACCGCCTGCAGCCCCACCATCAGATACCTTGAGGCGACGAAGAGCGGGCGGAGCAGGGATATCTACCGCAGTTGCAAATATCACATAAACAAGCAGAAAAGTCAAATAAAATTCCATCATCAAAACAGTGGCAAGGGGTGAGGATTTTGGCGGCACTGCGGGAATCACCTGGGCGATCTTTGGCCAGCCGGCAACATTGTTCGGGAAAATGAGGAACATAAACGCAGCGGCGGCAATTGAAGCACTTAGCTGCGCTAGTATATATGCAACGCCCTTGACTGGATGCATCTTGCCAGAAATGATGAATCCCATGGTCACTGCTGGGTTGAAATGGGCCCCAGAAACATCTGCAAAGGAATATATGATGGCGGTTGCAACCATCGAAACGACCAATCCTGGGATCACTGTGCCAGCAATGACGGGATCCGTGGCACGACTGGTGTTGATAAGCATTGCATAAACGACTGACAGAAAGATAAATGTAACCAAGAATTCGCCGACCACACAACGGAGAGCAAGAAAAACTTTCGAGCTAGATGAGGACGACATACGCACTTGAAAATCACTAAGATTCTAATTTATCCACCCATTATGATGCACAAGTGTCATCTTGAGACAGCATGAACCAGTGATGGGTCTTCATTTAAAACAGAATATTCAAGTTTACAGATTTTAAACATGTGCTTTGTAAATTTTAAATATCTGCTTGTAAATTTTAAATATCTGGTTTGTAGATTTTGGAGTTTACAATTTTTTTTAATGCTCTCAACAGAGGGCAGTTGTTCTCGGTTTTCGCCAACTAACTATCCGCAACTTCAAAATTTACTTAGAAAAGATCCATCCAGCTATTATGAAGAATTTCTACAACAAGAGAGGCACTTCCACATGCTCTTTGATCTTTACTTTAAAGATATAGCATTCTATTCCTCCTTCAATGTATCTTCCTCCTCTTCTACGCTTACTTCCCTTGTTACTTTCCTTGCACACACAGCTGGTTGTTATCAGGGCAAAGGACTGCATCTCTCTTCATTTATTCGCCAATTGATAGAAATTATAAGGATAAGCATTGAGCGGAACGACACCCCAGCTTTGGCCAAGACGCTGCTTCCTTCTCTTATAATCGCCCGTCATAAGTGCATGGACGAAGAAAGCAAGCGTTTGATCGTTGATTTCTTGTTTGAAATTTTATCTAAAATCCCAGATCTTGTGTATGGATATTTGGTCCAAGAGGCCAAAACGTCCCCCAATGACAAGTCTTTTAAAAGAAGAATTACCTCTACGCTCTCAAAAAAGTCTGAAGATCCACAAAACCAACAGCATGCCGTTCTGGCATTGCGGATTGGAGTCGAAATGTTTACCCGGTTTAAATCATGGCAGGAAACCGAGGTGATTCGAGTTATTTCTGAGTGCGCTCTTTCGAATTGTGTCAAAGTTTCTCTGTTTGCGATCAATTTTTTTCTTGGAGGGATAACCACTTGTCCCACCAACGATTCGGGAGATGCTAACCATCAGGAGGTTCTTTTTGCTCTTCGCCACTCGCTCCATACATCCGGAAAGAGCAGAGCAAAGCTTAGAAAAGAAAAAACCGCCATAAAAAAGTTGAACGAAAATGCAACGGAAAAAGAAGATCAGGTGCCCTCAGGAAATGTAAATCTTATTGCCTTGAATCTTCTCCCGGATCCTGATGACTTCTGCGAGCGCCTTGGAAGCATTATAAACGAGAAACAGGGCACCGCCCCACGTTCCTACGAGCACCGGTTGCTAATTATCCGCCTCCAATCTTGCCTGATTTCAAATTTCAAGCTAATTCTTCCCTCTTTTTACGAGAGAATTTTAAGATACCTCAAGCCGACGCAAAAGGACTGCACCAAGATATTGGCTTACATTGCCAACGCAATGCACGAATCGCTCAATGATATGCCTGAAAATGGGGATGCCCAGGAGGAGGCATCTGAAAGTGACACGCTCCTTCATCTCTTACACTCCGTGACGCTGACAATATCGCGCAATTTTGTTGCAGAACATTGCCGCCCAGAGGTCATAACGGTGGGTCTAAATGCGCTTCGTGAAATTGCATCCAGACTTCCACAGGCAATTTCTAAAGAGGTTTTGGTGGATGTCTTGACTCTTTCTTCGGATGCAAATGCTTCTAAAGCAATGACACGAAATAAGGGAGTCAAGATGGCTGCAAAGTCCCTGCTTTCTCTTTACAGAACAAAGGCTCCGGAACATCTTCTTGCTCGCCTTAGGGGACGTCCACCCCGATCGGGCAAAAAACTGTCTGAAGCGGAGCCTGATGAATTCAATGAAGCGATTCAGGACGATTTTGATGTGCATATTTCTGGCGGTGAATCTGATGAAGATTTTGAAGATGAATCGGACCTTGAAGAAGACGAAGATTTGGAATCTTTAGCATCTGGCTACGATTCAGAAGCCGAATCTGAAGAGAAGCTGCAAGGCATATCAGAATGTGAATCAAAAAGTGAAGTTTCCCCCGATCAGTCGAAAACAGACCTAAGATCTGAAATGACCTCGAGGTTTCTTTCTCCAGAGGAGCTACAGCTCCTCAAAGAGAACGATTCAGAAGATCAGGAAAATAGTGAGGGAGAGGTTTCTTTGGGTCAAATACAAAAGGGCGCAAATGCTGGAGGAAAACCCTCGAAAGAGGAGCGATTGCTTGTAGTAAAAGCTGGCCGAGAAGGGCGCACATACGGAAAAAAACATCACTCCTCGCAAACAACGAAAAGAAAGAAAACAAAGTCATTTATGATGCTGGTACATAAGCGCGGGGGCCCACTCTCCAAGTCCCATCAAAAGGCTGGAGTAGGCTCAGCATCAGCACCGGGCTCCTGCAAGCGGCAAAAGCGCCGTCGATGATATCCAATAAAGAGCTCGTGAAAAGTCACCCATGCTAACCGAACATTAAGGTCAAAATCGATCTTGGTGCTTCGATATTGCAACCAAGCACAATACCTAGGTGCCGAGTAAATCTGGCTGCACTTGTACCACGATGGGCAATGCACACCGAGTGGCGTAGTGTAAAATGAGCGGACATGGTAACGTGAAAGTTGTAGGTGATGTGTATTTATTTGGTGAGTTCCTTCCTAAAAGATAAAGATCTTTTAAACGAACCGTAAGTTGGCCGAAAAATCGTCCTCAACATCTTCGTCGTCCCAGTCCTTCTGCCAAAACGTCTCTTCGCTTGGGGCCGCCATGGAAGTGGCTGGATTCCATTCTACCATAAATGTTGGCATTCTTACCGTCTGCAGTGAATTCTTCAAAACTATCTTCATCGGCCGCAAGTAGCGGGTCCGAAGCGACAGCTGTAGCGTTATTTATAGCAGATGCGGACATGGCGGGTGAATCGAGCTGTAATCAAACCAAGTAAAATGTTTGAAAATTGGGGCTATTTTAAAATTAATCGGAATATTAATTTTGAAATCGAGTCGTTCTAATTTCACCATTGGGCTTTTGATTTAACATTTGCGGGATGCCAGCTGCTCGCCCATTTTCCGTGACACTCACCTTGCCACCACCTCCATTGAGCGTTATCGGTGGCGGCGGGCCAGAGTCGCTGCTAGAGACCGTTGTCTCGTTAACCTCCAGAAAGCGTCGCGTAATAACGAATGCCTCGGCTATTTTAAATGATGAGAGCAAAATTTCAACCGCCTGCTCTTCCAAGGCAAATCATCATCCACGTGCAACCGGCATTGCGTTTGAAGAGCAAATTGTGGTCCGGTTTCTTTCAGAGACGCTTGCAAATGCAGTTAGAGCCTCCTTAAATGCCGGCACTCTCGATACCGACCTTCAAATTGATTTTGACAAATCAACATTTACAAATGGGTATTTTGGCGGCCCGGCGGCTCCTCCTAGCGCAACAGTGATATTTTGTGGACAGAGATTCAAGGGCTGGCTTGTGGATCTACCATCGCTCGTCGAGTCGCTGATCTCCTCAAACAAAAAGCAATATTACAAAGTGGCGGACATTTCACAGGTACCTGCAGCTTTGCCCCTATTTTGCTAGATGCTCGTCGTGGGCGATAAAAAGGAGGAGAAGGAAGACAAAAACGGCCATACAGACGATTTCATTCCCACACGAGAGTGGCCACATGGCCTTACCCCGCCACTTGCCTTTGTCAGGGCACGCCGCTTCCGTCGGCAAGCTGCACGAGAATCGCTTGTAGAAATGAGCTCTGTTGTGCGGCGCCTGCTTGAAGCAGATAGGAAGGCACTTTCCATTGAGCTAGAGCTAATTGACACACCGGCATCATCACTTGAAGATCGTAACTTTCCAGAGTTGGAAGATGACGAGGAGGATGCCTCTTCCGTCGCCAGCGGGCCTCTCGCCTCCACTATCGGCGAGATTTCAGACGATGAGGTATCTGAGCTTGCCGCCGAGATCACTTACGATGAAGAAGAAGAGTATGATGAAGACGAAGATGAAGAGGAAGGAGAGGAGGGAGAGGAAGAGGAGGGAGAAGAAGAAGAAGAAGAGATTGCATCTGAAGGTAAAGCCGGGGATCCTCCATCTTCCGATATTCTTAGCTCGACAGGGCACAACTTTTCGTTGTTGCAATCTCGGATCTATTCTCGGTTAGCGTCTGCCTCAACGGCAGGCTTGAACAAGGATTCCGATTCCTTCAACCGCATGGTATGTTTCGGTGGCGAATAACCGTTTAGAATCGATTCAGCGATGCCATTCGGATCCTCTCGCAGCAGTCATCCTCTGTGACTCCAGAGAGCAATCCTCTCCTTGTGGAAGACTATGAGGTCTATCACGGGCAGGAGATTGATGAAGAAGAAGAAACCATTGATGATGCGGACAAAGGCTCCGTGGAATATGTACATGGCCACATGACATACCCGCCCAATGTAGCACAAAGTTCTATAAATTATGCCTGTGAGCCAATCGACTATGAGTATGGATCCGGAAGCTATGCTCAAAGCCAAGATTCCACTGTTGCGGATGATTCTCATTCGGAAGACGGGGGTCTCTCAATGGATTACGAGCAAGGCCTCCATGATGGCGGTCCTCTGACGGCTACTAGCAATCGAGCTCAAGGCGACCACCCTATGGATATAAACTCGGATGTCCCTGAAGATTTGATAGACTCGTATGCCAGATGGCTCTATGATGCTTCAAACAGTGGCGGCACCGGCGGTGGTAATCGTTGATTTATTGTAAATTAAATTTTTTGGCATTTATTGCGTCCCAATGGACAGGCCGTTAATGTGGACATGCCGTTAATGTAGACAAGCCGTTAATCTGGCGAGAGCTTATTGGCTGATGTCGGCAGAGAAATCGAAATCTCAACCACCTTTAGCGTGGTAATGTGTGGTCGAGAAAAGATTTTCTTCCTGCGACCTTTGCGCTGTCGGCCTCGCTTTGCAGGGACCTCTTTACCAAAAGAATGCGAATGCACGCGTGCCCGAACGACGAAATACTCTGGATTGATAAACTGTGTGTATTTGGACCCAGGGATACCGGTGCCAGTTGCCCGGAGCGTGCAAGATGGCGATCCGATTTCTCTTATTTGCGTTAGTCGAAGAACATCGCCTATCAGAGGCCCTTTGATACGATGGGTGGTAAGCGTGTCGCCAACTTGGACAGATTGAAACTGCCTGCCGCACAGAGTGACCTTTGCATAATAGTTCGGGCCGTCTGCATGCATAAGACGAAGTGCCATCTCTTCATTCTTGCCAAAAAAATTGGTGGAGAACCTGCGTATGCAGGCAGAGATAGAGCCTAGCAGCATGGATTTACAACCCCAAAAGATGGAAAAATTTCAAACCACACGAAAATTCAAATTTTATTTGAGCACAAACGAAAACAACTCCAACTAACCCTAAATCGGGACAAGCTTGTATTCAAATGTTACTCCTTTAAAGACTAAAAATGTAAAAACCCTCTGCAGGATTTACGAGATTGGTTATTTCTATTTCTTCGGAAATAAAGGCCATACTGTGCGATCTGCTCAAAAGACGCGAAGCCTCACATGCCAAGCATATGTAAGAGTACGGCAAGCCAGTTGGGTAATTTTTCTGATCCGATTTCTGTAGCGCCACTTCTTTCTACACGTAAGGAGTAGTAGTTATCAGGAGACGCTTTTTTAGCCTCGCATCTAAATAGCTAAAAGCAGTCATAAACGCAATAGAAAAAGGATTATCGGTACTAATGGCGATTGAAAGCAATTTCATATCAACTGCCAATGATGTCTTTTTGAACTTCCGGATAAATTTGATTGCATTCAGTATGGCCACTAGTAGCCGCCATTTTGACATTGGTTTCGCTCTCTTTATCGGTAGTATATTCCAGAGTCATCTTCTTAGAGATGCCTATAAGAGAAAAAACGCACAAATGGTAGCAAGAACTATGAAAGACGAAACCAAAGGCTTCTAAAAGGTCATTAAAGTATGCCATTTGACGAACATGAAAGGCAGCTTTCTAAAAGTTCACCTACAACTTTGCATCCAATGAAAGCCTCGGATTGAGGGATTAAAACTCTGCCAATTAAATTCGCTACAACAGACTCCTCGTCAAATAGAAGCGGTTCTCAAAATAGACACCTATAATCGCAAAAATGATCCCACTTAACAGCCATGATATGACGACCAGTATCGCCATCATGCCCCAATGCCCACTAACGCGGATGAGTTTTTAGCCCGTACCAATAGTTATTAAGCCATGTTATAGATCAATAGAAACAGGTTTATTAAAGTTCAGCATCGCTTTTATGCAATAAGAAATTACATCAAGAGCGTTAGAACGTCGATGGGAATGGGGAGTGGGATGGACCATAAGCGTTTCGGCATCAAAAAGCCTTTGAAATTCACCAGGTTGCTTCATATTCAAATCTGGTCTAATTGCAACATGCAACAAAACATTACACGAGCTCTTGCCTCTTAAGCTGCATCATTAGGCATATATCGGCTCAAAATTACCTCTTAACGGGATACCAATTTACTAGCAATTGAGGATACACCTTCATCGCATGTTGCAAAGACACAATCCATTGAAAATGCTCAAGTTTAGAGCTTTCAGAGGGTTTGTTATCAAAGCAAAAATATACACAATCGCTTGGTGCTGTTTGTCTGCATCGTTGATATGCAGCTGGCTTTTCTTTGAAAACTAAAAAGCCTTTTTATAGAAAAGCTTCAACTCTGCTTATGGACTCGAATCGTTGCATCTGCTCAAATCGGTGTTTTAATCCATCATTGAGAAATAGAAACTTTTCGAAAATTGCGGCCACGATATAATGGGCTCTGCAAAAAATAAATACGCTCGGGTTCTTTTAAGGCATAAAAGCGGCTAAAATATTAGGCACTTCAAGCTCCTGCGTACGAATCGCATCAAGATCGGTTTTCTTTACACAACATCATCTAACTATGTGCTAGCATTTTGAAATGCATCTTTGCTATCATTATTAGCTGGAAAAAGGGCGTTCATCAAAGCAATTGTCTGCTTCATAAGGCTGCATAACTTGTGACAACATCCTGCAAACTGATCATCGGTTAGGCTTTGGTCTCTTTTAGGTGGCCTTTCACTTGAAAGAGTATGTTCAAACGGGAAAGCGGAATATCTTTCGCTCTCAAAGCCGAAAAGTATTTGCCGAGTAAAAGTCTGCAATGCTTTTTCCACCGATTTCAAATAGATTTTTGATATGCAACTTTTATATCTTCGAAGAGTAAAGCAAAGGTATGCATCAAATAGACGGTGGGGCTTCCTGATAAAAAAGCCTAACGGCAAGCTGGGGTGTATCCAGTAGTCACCTAGGGAGGTCCAGACAAGAAGCCTTCAAAGCATTTCATTAAAATGAAAATGAAATTTGTTGGGACAACCAAATGATAAATGACAGAGCGTCATGGCAACCGTAAATCACAATTAGCTTAAGATGGTAGAGGAGCTTGTGTCCTTTGCAAAAAAAGATGATGATACTCTCCACCCTCCTTTCTTTCCTTGCATTCTTCACTGCGATCAACTGCGATTTTAGCCATTTATATATCAAGGAACCAAATCAAGGAATATCGTGGAGACCGGGGTCAAATGTGGCCATCAAGTGGACAAATATTGGTGGGGAGCTTCATCCCAACGCATTAATCTCCATTGACATCATGGACGGAGATGCACAGAGTGCCGATCTAATCGCTCATGTTGGAAGTAACATTCCAGCAAGCGCCAACGAGTACAACTGGATTGTCCCGGTAAACATGGAACAGCGATCGGACTATTTCGTCAGAATGTCATCCACCGATCCATCTGGTGTTTCGTATTTCTATTCCGGACGGTATTCTGTTGCTGGAGAAGCTATGGGAGCTACATTGGTTTCACAGCCATGGGAGCATGAAATTAGTTCCACTGCCAAGCCAAAACCCACAAATGTGGTAGTTCCAACAACCGCCCATGATGCAAGTACTGCGCACGTAACTGAGACTGTAGAAGATAAGACCACCTCATTGATGCCCACAAGGACCTCAAACGTTATTTCTACTGCAGCTAGTTCGATTATTTCCGAAAAAGAGACGATGGCCACTTCATCTGTCAAGCCTCAATCCAGTACTCAAAGGTCAGAATCGACGACTAGCAGTGAAGAGGACAAATCATCTGCCAATTTACCTGTTCTTTCATCGTGGGTGCTTATTTCTAGCGCCACCATTTTTTTGAGCGTGTTTCTTATTGGAGTAGCTGTGTGAAATATTGATGCTAATAAACTTGCCATAGAGAATAGTTTACAATGGCACGCGATATTTAAAATTTTGGCCATCTTTAATAGGAGGAGGGAGGGCGAGGGAGGGGGTTTGTAAAATTTAAATGCAGCTGCGTGTATTTTTTAGTTGCCTTATTTTTATCTTTTAAACATGCAGCATGACACTGTCATTTGGCAAGTGATCGGCAAGAATTTTTGTTCCTTCAAAGTCAGAACACCTGATGATAAGAAACATTTTTGCAAAAACGAATACAATCTTACCGGGCTTTGTAATCGGCAAGATTGCCCGCTAGCCAACTCCAGGTATGCAACTGTGAGGAACGTAAAAGGAAAATGTGTGCTAATGATGAAAACCATTGAACGTTCCCATATGCCATTGAATCTTTGGGAGAAGATTTCTCTTTCCGACAATGCGGAAGAGGCCGATCGAGAGGTTCGTTATAACAAGGTTTATTATTTTGTAGATCGATGCAAAGCTTCTCTATTGGCCCAATGCTCTTATTGAAAAGTGCAAGAAAAGGTATGCTCGGCTCAGGCAAGTTATCAAGCAGATGCGCAGGATCGCTTCAAAAAAGCCCGAGCAGAAAGCCATTATCACCATTCACTCTCAAAAGATCGAACGTAGAGAAAAACGGCGAGAAGTAAAAGCAGAAGCTGCTGCACGCCTCGAAAAATCAATTGAAAAGGAACTTCTTGACAGATTAGAGATTGGCGTTTATGGCGACATGTACAATATTGTGCCGTCTGTCTTTGAAAAAGTGATAGAAAATACGGTTGCAGATGCAGACCAAATGCAAGAAGATGAGGAAATCGAGTATGAGGAAGACGAAGAAGAAGAACAGGAAGAAGAAGAGGAAGAGACGTTTGAAAGGGATGATGAGCTCCTTCAATATAGCGATGACAATCTCAACATGGAGTGTGAGGATCAAGAGATTGAAGAGTCTGATTTGACTGTGCTTTTTCCAAGGAAACAACAAAAGTTGGCTGCACCGGTTGTTCATATCGAGTATGAGAGACATGAGGACCTGGAGCAAGATGAGAAAAATAGGGAAAAAATACCGCTATCTTCGGGAAAATCCAAAAATAAATCCTAATTTAAGAAAGGAAATTAATTTTTTTATTTTCCAGGCCATCCATACACATGTCCTCTGCTAGAAATGCCAAGGTAGCTGCTGCATTTTTTATGCGCTAGACTGCCCTCGCATATGCGCGTCTTTGGCATCATGTAGATTGCACTGGGAGGATTTTGGGTAGATTGGCTACCCAAATTTCGCATGTCTTGCAAGGAAAACACAAGCCCATTTACCATCCCGCTGTTGACTGCGGCGACTATGTAGTTGTCACCAATGCCCGTTCTGTTGCTCTTACAGGCGAAAAGAGCATAAATAACTCATATGTTTACTATACTGGATTTCCCGGCGGCCAAAAGTTCATGCCAATCAAGCGATTGAGGGATCTCAATCCTCAGGAAGTTATTCGGCATGCTGTATATGGTATGTTGCCCAGGAACAAAACACGGCATGAGCGGATGAGGCGGCTAAAGATATTTCCAGGCCCCATTCACCCATACGAGTCAAATATCTTTAAATCATACCTCTCTGCCCCTATTCCACCAGTCGCGTCGATCAGGCCAAAAGGACTAATAGACGAAGATAATGGCGAAAAGAAGAAGTGACATTAATAAACGTAGATTTCTACTTTTATGGAAAAAACGAGTGGATTTCTACTTTTATGCTGAAGATATATTTTTGCTTTTACGGGGGCTAGTCAGCATGCTTCATATTTTCTATCAAGGGAGCCACCTTATCACCGAGTTTTTGCTTTTTTGCCACTGTGAGATATAMATCTTCACTCAGCGGAGCTATGGTATCACTCAAGTGACAACTAGTGCAATCCTCTGGGCGCCACTGGTCCATCCAATTGGCACAATCATATTGGGGCTTCCCAAGCTTTTCATTGACCAAATTATGTATTTCACAAAGCCAAGCCCCAAATTTTTCCATAGACTCAGTCTAAATATTAGTATTGTCGTCAAAACGTAGGTAAAAATATAGCCATGGCAAAGGAATATGGAAATAAACAAATAAACAAAGCAGTAATCGGTGTGAAAGCGGAAATGGAAAGGTACCTCTG